TGTAGCCATCATCTGAATCCTGTTGGCGTGAGTCAGTGCAGATTGAGGCGTAGTTGAGAGCGATTTTCATGTAGTCAGGCGCCGAACTGGGATGAATATCTAAACAAAGGCAATGGAGGACCAGCAATTACTACGAATATGATTGTACAAATCCCCGATACTCCCATCAATCAGTGTGTCCGGTGTGGGGGTGTTAGTTTGCATCCTGAAGGCAAAATAGCAGCACCCATGGGTGTGAGTGGATTATCTCTATGGTGAGAGGCTGAGTTGATAGACAGACGCACTATTCTGCATCCGGTCCGCCGTTACACATTATTGACACTCGGAGGTAAAGCCGATATGCAACCAAAACACCGTCTATCTCAAATGATTGACGTAGAAGAGGCCAGTAGAATCGCCTTCTCCACCATTACGACCCCGACTGCATTTGAACTACTGATTGGCATATAGCAGAGGGGTACGAAGTGTATGTGTGAAAGGAAATACACCTGACCCCAACGCCTCAAATGCGACAAAATTCAGTTAGGCTTACCTCCTTCCTCGCAGCTCGAACCTTCAGTTGAGATTTCGCAGGAGTTGCGATTTGTCTGCTTTCCAGAATCGCAACTGTCGTGCTGCTGCTGCTGCTGCTGGCTTGGTGTGGACTGCGTGCTAGTGACGCACAGACGAGCATGGCATCTCGTGCCCATTCGAGGAACACGACGGCGAGCGTTCAACGAACCTCCAGACCCCGCAGCCACAACCGATCGAAGCTGGAGCCTGTCGGTGTGATGGTCTTTCTCCTCCTCCGAGGGGATTGGAGGAAGGGGTCGAGTTTGTGGCGAAATTAGCTGAAAGAAAGTGCTGTCTTATAAGACAAAGAATCGCATTCACGTGCGTTTTTTTTCAATCAACCACTCTATGTGGGATTAAACTGGGCCAAGTTTGCTGCCGAGGCACACGTGTTTGGGAGCGAAATACACGAGTTATATTCTGTCCAGCGTAAGTATGGTGCTCTCAGAGTAGCCACTTGACACCTGGACAAAGGTCTATGATTCAATTATGTCTAATTGGCAATAAATTTGGGTCAACACACTACCTATTTCGTCGCCAGTCAGTCTTAGTTAACCGTATTTTAATTAATTTTATTGCCACCGTCGCTAACACAGTCGCTTAACCAATCGGGTTTTCCAGTCAAAACAAACATTACGAAATGCACAAAAACCATATGCCGAAATTTTAAAATGACCTTCATATTATACATGATGTTTTACAGACATTAATGGACAGAAAAAAAACGAGGATGAAATGCCTTTCTGCTAATGGGCATGATAACTCACCGGAGCCGAAAACATCTCGGATGCGAAAATGTCACGGCGGAAACCACAAGTTGAATTTATGCAACGCCTTGACCAATCCTGACGCAAGCACATGGGAGGCTGTCTGCAGCTCACCGGTTGGCTGATCCTCAACCAATGGCATTAGTTCGTTCAAACGGCTCTTTTGATTGATATCTGCTCGGTGGCAGACACGCATTTTGGGTCACAGTTTTAAAAGTAAATTTCGTCACCAAATTTTCCCTCTTTATGGTAAAATAAGAGCACTTCTTTAGGATTACGGTCAATTTCATATATAAATTGACGGATTTTTCCAGTAAAATTGCTTTTGTTAGTCAGACAAGCGTTCGTGAGATTTCTGATTCCTTATGGAAGGCAGCTTTTCTCTATTTAATTCGAAAGTGGATTGAACCAAATGAATAAGTGGCGTCTACAGAATTGAATCGCGACATTTTACCGATAGCTAAAGGAATGCTAAATAGCAAGTCGTGTGAGGTAAACGTACCCTGGATGCGATTATTCTGTGATAATGCCAGTAAGTTTAATTCTTTCTCAAACAGAGGCATTAAAGGACAAAATAATTGTGGTCCTTAGATGCGTAGTGTGTTTTCTTTTATGCACAATGGCTTTTGTGTTTGATCTGGAGGTTGTGAAATTGAAGATGTATTTAAACAACTCGTTGGACTGCTTTACCTCGACGTGAATTGTCATGATTTTGAATCAAGGCAGTAGTAGCAGTAGACAGGCTTAAAATCACTGTGAATCCTACAAAAAAGAGTCACGATTTTCGCCTCCAACGCACACTGGTAAGAAAAGTAGCGAGCGGAGCTTACTCAGACGCCCTTAACGAATAAATCTAATTATCTTCGGCCGCGTAGTCGGCATGTCGCATTGCCGCTTTTCTATCCAGACGCAAGTCCGCAAGTGATGAAGAAGTCGCTCCAGGAAAAGCGAGCAAGACAGGGTGGAGTCAGTGAAAATAGAAGTTAAAGGGAAAAAAGAGGAAGGATGAGGCGAAGGCGGACGGGTGTTTGGCAGGATGAAATTGTCAACCTGTAAAGTGGAAATGTACCGCAGACCCTCTGGTGAAGCATCTCAAGATACCGATTAAGTGGTCGGTGTGGGTTTCGGTGGAGATGGCAGTAGTGGCTGAGCATTCTTGGTGACTCTTTTTTTGAGTTCTAGTTCCATGTACGTCGGAGTGATTGAAACACTTTCTAAGCTCGTCAGTCAAAACAAAGCTGGACACACCGACGGTGTGATCTCAACCCTCACTGTTTCTTCCTTCCTGATGTAGAAGCCGCATCCCGATGGTTGGCGGCCTTGACGAACCAGGTGATTCGTAAACAAAATATGCCAGCGTGGAGGTGGAACAAGAAGGCATTTCAGTCGGGTCAAACAGCAGGACAGGACTTGATAGGGATAACTCCACTGTTATTTGAAGTTTGTGAGGTAGTTTGTATCGAATGGCAAAAGAATGTAAATAACACCAGCTTACGCAACACTGGATATACGCGCTGGAATCTAACAGCAAAACACTCATTTAAGGTAGATTTTAATGGCTGTTATCCTAAACAATGGGGAGAGTAAATAGAAAATGTTAAACGCTAAATGTATGCAACAAATACAGTCGTTTACCACGATTGGCGGATTTGAATAGTGCTCCAACAAAACCAGTACAGTAAAACAAAGGGTTATAGGGAGATAATATGACAACCCCGCAGGCTGGTTCAACCACAACAGCTGGGAAGTCCACCTCACAGGAGGTATCAGTTGGTAGGAGAGAAATGCTGAATGGGACTCTGGAGAATCCGAGGCCAGATTTGCGGGACTCCTTAAGCCCATTTGTGGACGTTATGGAGACTCATCAGCTGTTTTATAACATGCACGAACGAAAGACAAGTTCACCAAGGCAGATTATTGGCTAAAATCACAAAACCGACGTCAAACATTCGAATTCAGGTGCGCACGCTTAAAGAATCGAAAACAGTTGGTGCATTTATGAAAGATAGGCATTTCACAGCGGAGCAATGCTATGCAACAGTGGACGAGCATCTGCTGATTCCCAGGTGCTGGTTATTTAAGACTAAATGCACACGAAATAGACGAGATTAAAAACCGTCAATAAACTTGATGACTATGAAACCAATCAGTCGTTGTAGAAACATTAAAACAGTTTTCCTAGCCCACTTCTTCTCAAAACACGTGCAAGAAATTCGTAATGCTGGTTTCCTCTCTTCCAACCACCAGCCTACATTTTTTTTAATTTTTAATAAACTGTCTGGATTCAAGCCCGATGCTTTTTTTTTAAAACTCAGCACAAACACAAAAAGAAGTGAAAAAAAGGAGACCAAAATGTGCGGAAAAAAGGAAATGAGCACGTATCAGACTGATCGGCATTGTCGGCTTACCGACGATTGCCGACAATTGCGCTAGACTAGGGCAAAGGGGATGAGAAGAACCTGTGTGGGTTGGGTGCGGGGTGCGGAGGGGGGAAGGGGAAGGGAGTTGTGAGTCCCCCCGACTTGCCTTTTACTTGGTTGGGAAATGTTTTTGCGCTGCACCATGAAATTTAATCTGGAAAGTGTCCTATTGCGTAGAAGCTGCTGCTGAGAGTAAAATAGCGACAGTTGAAGATGTAGATAGAAATCTTGAGAAACTTTATTCTCAATTTTAGAAAATGTCCTAGAAAGTGATGAGTCGGTTTGTCTAGTAGGTGCCAAACGTCAATACAACTTCTTCGTAAACGTTCCTCTGCCAGCAGAGAAGCCTCAGATTTCAAAATATCATAAAATGTCTCTTGATAGGGTGAAGACAGCGGGCCGGATGTGCCTCAAAATTTGGCCTTGTTTGCATTCACCAAACAACTTTACCAAGCTGAATCATTTTGTAAAGTTCCCACACCTTCAAACCATCTTCATTCCTATTGTCTCAGTCCATGGAACTTGTTTAAGATTGTCATTATGTTTAAAAAAAGCCAACCAAAACATGCACTAATTGGTCGCAATACCAGCAAGTGAACCAATCACTAATCAAGCACATTTGTCAGTTAATTGGTCAGCCTTATTTCGACCAATAGGTTCACTAGAAACCGGTGGAAGTAGCACAAATTGCCACCCAAACTTCGATGCAGCACTTTTGTCAATTTATCGGCTTTCATTCTCAGAATGCAATTTTCTGGCTCTACAGGAAGTGTAGTTGAACGTCTTCACTGACACTCGCATCTGCGTTGAATGTCAATCCTACTTTTACGCAGCGAAAGCCTTTGTCATTTGCCGCAGCGGCTAGAATTGACTGCCTGTATGTTGTGATGATCTTGAACTGACAACCAAAATCATCTGTGTCCCCATTTTCTGACACACTTCGGAAAAATCGCGTCTCTCCTAAGCGTCTCATTTCCAGATCACTCTTTGAGGTGGTTCGCTTCCCCTTGAACTAATTCGTTTGATACCGTTCCTCAGCTGATTCTGATGTGCCGTTTTGTTGTCGTGACGACATGAAAATCTGCCTTGTTCGTCAGTTCGACTTACAACCACCACTAACTGCTCAGAGGCCTCCTTAGATGTGTCAAGGTGCGTCATGAACTCACGACACCAACACAGATTGGGAAATTAAACCGTTTTTCACTCGCCAATTCGCAAGATTAACACATTCTCCACCAGTGTCCAGGTCACTAGGGGTTGTGGTTTTCACCTGCCTTAGAATTCGAACGGCTGATGCACCGGCCAAACTGTAATCCAAATAGGATTAAGCGTCATAAGCGGACAACAAAACTGCATAAAGTAAAACCATTTCAAAGTGCTCGGTAACTTCAATGTGGCGGCATTTGCCGACGTTCATTTAATGCAAACAAACAAACATTAATGCATTCGGCGTCGTGGAGCATCCATCTGGGTGTTCTTGATAAAGTTTGTTGAAATAACAGACTACATTGTTGTTGTTGCTGCTGCTGCTGCATTATCATAAACTATGCTTTCTCGCTTTGTGAAGGACCAGTCGCCGTTTTTGCCTTGCCTACCAGACAAAAGTAGACGTCGTTTCGTCTGAACTTCTCGACTGTCTAAAAACGGAGTTTGGTTGTAGCAGAGAAGCATATTTCCACACAAAACACACAAGAACTATCTTTCAGCATATAGTCGTGTTTCTAAAACCAATCATTTTCAAATGATGAAACTCCATCAGGCATCAGGAAATTAAGGAATTCTGAATGTCACCAAAACACGTCTCAATATTTTTCTCACAAAAATTGTGTCATTTAATTTTTAAATTGTCATTAGAAAATGGTTCAAACGTGTCAGCAGATCTGTGCGTGGGTGAAAGGCAGTCATTTGTAGTAGTCTCTAATTAAATCGGATTGCTTGTTTTAAACGACTTCCTTGTAATTGGCTTTGCAAACCGCGATAAACACCTTATTCCTCGCCAGCCAATCAATGTTCAGTGGCTTGAAAATTAACAGTTGACTTATCAGTGAACGGGGATGTCACTAAGGTTTTTTTGACGTAAAAGATCATTCATTGGGACAATATTTAAGCGTATCAGTCCAGCATTTGCATTAAAGTAAACAACGCAAGACTGATAGTCATTATCCTTCAGTTATCTCGGTATTGCGATCTGATAAAAAACGAGCGTTTAAGCTAATTTTTATGCCCCAGAGATCCAATTTTTCTATCTCCAACTTGTGATTTGCCGTGAATACAATGCACGCATAAACTCGGCATTTTCGAGGTTTCGAGTCGCATGTGCGTGTGTGAAGGAATTTACGTTGGGATTTCTTCTTGTCACTTGTTTCAGTTCAGTAAAACAAAAAAAAACAACTTCCGCAGTATAATAACAGAAGGAGTCCAAGATTTCAGTGTGGAGAGAAACTGTGGGAAGGTATTTACCAAGCAGAAAATACTTAAATATTCAGTCGGCTCTAAGAGTTCTGTGAAAGCCTACATGAGCTTGCACGATCTGAGATCAATGAGATGAGTAAATGAAACTGAGGGATGAGTTGATGGTGTGAACGACGATGTGGCGGAACTGCAGAACTGAAAATGTCTTAACAGACCTGAATTAATAGACTTTGCACATTACTATGGTAGTTTAGTTGTCTTGGGGAGTGTTGACATCTTCGGCAGCAGCTAACACTGAAAACCGGAACTGCGAATGTGTGGGGACGCGAGAGGTGGCATCTAGACTGACCGATAACAGCATCGAAGCATGGTGCGCCGTCTTTGACACGTGTGAACTTCAACTGGCAAAACTCATTAGTTATGCCGGGGGGTGGGAAAAGGGGGGTGTAGGAAGGTGCCATGTCGTGCCCGTATCTCTCCGCCCCTAACGCCTGTTTTGATTGCTGCGACGCCTACACGCACGTGCTAATTGGTGGAAAAGGCGGGAGTGTGGCTGCTCACATCGACCTCGTTTGCTGACTTGCGTGCACTCGCCGCCTCCGCCTCCACCGTCTGACACCTCTCACGCAGGCATCGCTTTCTCCCACTCCCAACAGCTGTTAATTAGCCTTTGATGTCGAGGACAGCGACACCTCCAACGCGTTCTAATGGACACAACACAATCACGACGAGGCAATCGAGGACAGGCAGTCCAACGCCCGGACGGTGTTGGCAATGACAACGTATTACAGTGCTACCACCACCCCTGTTTATAAATAAAGAGTACAATTAAGCTCTAAAAGTTCAGATGTGGCACGACTAGGGTTCTAGTTGATCCCATAGTCACACACACGAAGGCTAACACAAGTGATTTGATTTGTAGGTGGGTAACTTGTGCAAAGTGCAACCCAGTCAACATTTTCCGTAGTAGTCTAAAGAGTCTAGACGTTGGTCTGTTAAACATTTTTAGATTACCGAACATCAGCTTGAAGCAGTTTTCCATTGAGGCCTGCCATGGACAGCTTATTGAAGTAGATGCTTCGAAAATACTTGAATATTTATGCCGATCAAGTTGCATCCTTTGCTGGAATCAGACAGTTATTTGTGGAGCGAGTGCTTCCATTCATCCACAACTTACAACGGAGCCAGAGTATTGTCAGTATAAAGGTGAAGCATAAAGGCTTGTCTATCTGTTCCATTATTTTGATTCCACATTACTTTGAAGTCCGATGAAATCTGCGAATAAGTTTATCTCACTTGGTAGGCGAGCAATGCTGAATGCAACTCAGGTGTATCTAAAACAAATTGATGAGTCCAGGTTTGCGACCAAAGAAAGCGATGCTGATCCATTATGGGTCATAGAATTGTCAATCCATGGGTCTTCTAACCGTCCCAGGACGCCGATGTTGGACACTAATGCTACTACTACATCCCTTATCAGTGAACTAGACCTTCAGGCGAATGATTAACTCGTTGACGCTGATCCAAGTACTGGTGGGAGAAAACTCAGGAACACTAGAATAAACACAGTTGGCGCACTTAGAAAGGAGATGATTATCACTTTGTCTTGTTGGAGTTTTAATTTCTGAATCTATGGAAATGGTTACTAGCACTGGAAAGTGATTAAAGCCGTCGTTGTTTGAATTCATGAAGGTTGAAGTTGACATGACAGGACATTTATCCGTTTTTGGTGACCCCAAGTACATAAGAGTTTGGGGATAATTTGAGTTGTGATATGGAGGTCAAATTACCGCCAAGCCATTAATGGCCCCCGGTCGTGTTTGTACTGGACGATTGGACATAAATTGGATCTTGATACTGACGCAGTCGACGTTATTTTATTACCCAAGGTGATCATGATGCATCACCGCTGACCCTCGACATTCGAACAAGTGTTGAATCGACGTGCGAACGCGTTCGTGGGAGATATGTCCCATGACCATAAGGGGACGCAACCTGTTGCCAACTCTCTGCTGTAACTTTTGACGAGATCAAACTCGATAGTGGGCAGCTGGTGATCCGAAATTTCCTTTTGGCTGAGTCGGGAGACAGAACCACAGGTATTCACTTATATACTAGGAAACCCCAGTACATTTAAACTAATTCCGTCATTTTATGCACAAATTCCGAGCAATTTTGACAGTTTTAATCTGCTGACGCATGCAAATCGAAGCCAACGGTGTTGGTTGCCTAACACAGAATGCATTTGAGGCTGGCCAAGTCAATAAGCTCAACATCGACAGTCGAATTGCATAATTGAAATTGTCATATAGTCAATTTAATTGGATTACAAAAGATATTGCTTGCCTGGACCTGCTTCCAAGCAATTGTCCAATGAGAGAATCAACCAATAGGAAACTGCCAGGGAGAGCAAATCACAGCTGATCGTTTTCCGCCAAGTCAATGCACAAGAACGATCTTTCAGCATGTAGTCATATTTCTGATAAAATCCATCAGGATTCAGCAAACCAACGAATTCTAAACTGCCGCTAATGCTGATGATAACCTGAAACGCACTTGATTAAGTTTCTCTGATGTGTATTCTTCTGGCAGCCAGGACAATTGACAATTTAAAACCTTGACATCAGACAATTTTATCATAGTGGAATCAGCCTCTCCGTTTGACCTTAAGTAGAACAATTAAAGCGGAGAAACCATTGACAACAAGTATGGCAGTCCAAATGACAGGACCCAGGAAAAAGATTTCATCTGTCAGTTAATTTGCAAAAAATTTACAGAACCTGATTCCAAAATATTAAAAAAAGAAGCTGCAAGTCTTTTAAGAAATTAATTTTTGTCACTGTAAGAGAAAACAAGCAATAAATGCAGCTCAAAATTTCAAATGTGAAATTTGAAAAATTTTGAGCTAGCTTGCCCAAATTAAATTTGCGTTTTGTTTGCTCTAGGTACAATGCTATATAGAGAAGTAGTCATCCGAGTATAATCCATGGAAGTGACATACTATCGACTTAGTAAAAATTACGAAGGTACTGCTTACTTTGTGCTGCTTCGAAGATATCATCCAATGAGAATGCGAGTGGCAACCAACCAATGAAAAACCACGAGGACTGGCGCATCACAGGTGAATCGAGTTTCATCAATACAGACGCATGACCTCCTTCCCATAATTTTGGAACTCGACCAAAAGTAAATACAATTTCGTCGCACTGCAGTGGAGCTTGCGATTTGTATTAAAATAGACCGTGATTGTAGCTGTGAAATCCTGGCTTCACGATTTTGCAGAATATCATAAATTATCCAAACTAATTTCCCACAATTAGAACTGTCGAATCTATTAAAATGACAACTGAAAGCGTCCACTTGCGTTCGAGAATGCCTGATGCCTTAACTGCATTCAGAAAAATGTTGTTTAGTGTGCAAACTCGAAGCTCGCAGAAGTGATTGATTATCCGTCTGGCCGCGATGCTAATTGCCAGCGCAGCAGTGAATCAAAATGGAAATGGCTGGGCTAAGATAGAGAGACGGAGCGATTTGATGAGAGGCCACTCGGAATTGATGGTACTGGCTTGAGTCGGATGGTGTGAGGTGTCGATCCTAGCTGCACCATTGAAGGTACGACCCACAGGCCCATTTCGTGTGGATCATACCCAACACCTGATCCCAACAGTATTGACATCTAGTAAACAGTTGGTTAGTTGGTTTTTTTAGCAGCACTTCGACATGGGAGAAAAGCACTGCAGGAAAAATGAGCCTGCAGCATGGGGAAATGAACAGCTGTCCAATGGTAATGAATATCACAAATGACCAGTTAACTTTCCCATTGGTTGGGATTGCCATCTGTTCAAATCGTTTCGCTTTCACTTACAGTATCCGCAAATGGGAAATGGGGCGCAGACTGTAACGACTTCCGAAATAGCCGAGACACACGGAAGCTCACATCTTCTGGACCACAGAAATTTGTAGGGGATTCTAGGCGAGTTTAGCCATCAGAGACAGTGGAAATCTACATCGTGTTTGACGTAGCTCCGAGAATGCAGTGGTAAGTCTTCATCACAACGTGCAGGGATATTAAGAGTACCTTTCATTTCACTGTCGCGTTTCGATTTCATGATCATATCTTCGGAACCACGAGGAGGAACTGATTAAAGCACGCTGCCATTGCAGAGGGTTATTTGGAAGTCGATCGATAGTTCTGAGGTCGATGTGTCGATGGCTAGTCGTGGTTTCACTCATCCACGAAGTTGTTGCAGCCGAAGGTCCACGAACGGCCAACGGCGGAGCTCTGAAGCAAACTCAATGTGTTTCGAATGGAAGGCTCACAGAACTGTCATTGATTTCAAGCAAGAAGTGCTTTGCTTTGAGATTCGAGGACATTTAACTTTGTTGAGAGGCTCATGGACCCACGTCGTTGTTCCTTTGAGTCGGTTACACTGTCAGGGTGGTAATACTGGAGCTACTCTCTAACTAGAGTTGAATGTTAAGATGGACGAGTGAGAGCAGCAACAACGGGGACATGCACGCGGAAGCATTCAACGAAGTCACTGGTTCAGACGATGTCGGATTTGCTTAGAAGGCGCTGTTGAGTATAGGCGATGGCGTCTTGACACGTTCGATGGTCGTGGAGCTAGCAGAGTGTGGTTCCGACATGACTGACAACCAGAGTCGGGCTATGCGTGTCTTGAAGCTTCTGAATAGAGACGCAATCCATAATGGGAATGCGGTAGGCATCTTGATGGCCTAGAATTGATTAACGTTGGAACTCATTCACTTAGTCTTCACTGCAACGTGTTCCATCATACAAATGAAGACGACATTGTCCAATGATGCCAACACGAGAAGTGGTGCTGGATTGTGGAGTTGAAGCACGGCAAATGCCTCCCGAAGAATTGCGATTACAGGTCTCAAGAAGGCTGATTCCAACACAACCACAAACACACATTCATGGGCATTGGATCTCCCGTCTCGTTGCAGCACCATTCACTCAATGAGGACTAATGCCATCGAAAATGGCAAATTTATCGAAAACGGGTTCACAAAAGGGAGAGACCAAAGCATCTGCAGAACCAGACACGAGGAGGAATTTAGGTGCCTCGTTTTTACGCCACTCGGGTATGCGAGATGGGAGACGAAAGGGAGTTGTTCTAGCAGACAAAACATGTGTATTTCGAATAAGTTAATTCGCCGATCACTGATCGTACACTCACACGTACGCGCACACCCACGAAGAATCCCTGCCACAGTGTACATCTGCGTTTATGTAGTGACATTAAGGATCGTGATGCGCGATAGCGGATAGACGTTTGGTTGTACAAGAATAAGCCAGCTGATCACATCGGAATCGTTAGTAGTTGTTGCTTTTGATGTCTGATTACGCCACACAAAAAACTTAAGCGTTTTTGTTGTCTATCTGCATGCCTTTGTAATTGGAGAAATATTTAATCACAGAGGTCGCTGGATATGCGCTTACAGAGGCTGAGTTCAATCGGTGGAGAGAGCCGGTATCTTCAAGCCTGCCAAGTGTAGTGACATCGCGAAGTGCAGTGTGCCACGGTGAGGTGTTGTGCAATCATCATCTGCAAACCATGAAACTCGTTTTTCGAGGCAAAGCGGGTTGCGGGCTGTCTTGAAAATGTGTTAGTCGTTCCAAACTCCCAAAAACTGCTGTTTACATGCTGTGTAGGCTCCACCGCACTTGCATCGTCTCCAATCGGTGAATAGAGTCTGGCTAGGTGGTCTTCCTAAGCCGGCCACTTTTTGACAAGTTAGAAATTAAAATCACACACCAAAAGCACCATGTTCTCTCCAAGTGGAGGAAATCATCGAGGCAGCATAAATGATGGGGGTTGCTCCGAGTTACGGGAAGCCACA